TGAGCATCTCCCCATTCCACGTTCGGGTTAAAGGGAGTCAGTACAGCATACCCAGTGGTACAGTGAAGGTGACAGTGTATTTTGGTCTTAATCTATCTATCTATTAATACATCTATTCATTTGTTTATTTATTTGCCTATCTATTCATTGATCTATTTTGCTTTACTTAGTCATTCATTTGTTTATCTATTTATTTTCTTATTATTTTTATGATTGGGACTTAAGACGACTGGGTTATAGTGTTGACATAGAAAAAAGAGAATACAAAAAAGAAAAAAAATAAAGAGGACGAAAGAGAAGAACCAGAAATGAAGAGAGAACAAGATTAGAGAAAAAAGAAGGAAACGGGAGAGTAAGAGAGAAGAATTAGGAAGGAAGGAAGAGAAAACAAGAATCGGAAAAGAAGAGAAAAGAATATTAAAGGGAAAGAAAGAAAAGCAGTGGACAGAGAACGAGATAGATAGATAGATAGACAGAGAGAGAGAGGAGAAGATGGGGGGAGAAAGAGAGAGAAAGGAAGAGGGAGGGAAGGAAGAAGAGAGAGAGAGAGAGAGAGAGAGAGAGAGAGAGAGAGAGAGAGAGAGAGAGAGAGAGAGAGAGAGAGAGAGAGAGAGAGAGAGAGAGAGAGAGAGAGAGAGAGAGAGAGAGAGTGAAAGAAAGATGCCAGAAAGATAGAAATAAAAAAAGGAGACGGGCAAGAAGAGAGATCGAAGAATGACGGAAGAGTGAGAAAGAGAAACGAGATAAGGAAGAGACAGAGAAAAGAGACCGAAATATATAAAGAGAGTGAGAAAGAGAAGTGAGATAAAGGAGAGACAGAGAAAAAGAAAATACAATACCCTCTGACACACACGCCCACAACCCCTCCCCCCCCTCCCTCCCTCCTCCTCTTTCTCCCTCTTACACAAACACATCACAATTCACCGATCTAAGATGTCGTTTTTTTCTTCTTTTTTCATATTCCGCTGATCTCTTATGTAAGATTTCACTTGTGTTGTTAGCTTTATTTTCTCTCAGAAGAGGGGAGGAGACAAGAATAAGGGGGAGGAAGAGAGAGAGAGAGAGAGAGAGAGAGAGAGAGAGAGAGAGAGAGAGAGAGAGAGAGAGAGAGAGAGAGAGAGAGAGAGAGAGAGAGAGAGAGAGAGAGGAAAGAGAGAGATTAAGAGAGAGAGAGAGAGAGAGAGAGAGAGAGAGAGAGAGAGAGAGAGAGAGAGAGAGAGAGAGAGAGAGAGAGAGAGAGAGAGAGAGAGAGAGAGAGAGTTAAGAGAGAGAGAGAGATTAAGAGAGAGAAGAGAGATTAAGAGAGAAGAGAGAGATTAAGAGAGAGGGAGAGATTAAGAGAGAGAAGCGAGAGAGAGAGAGAGAGAGATTAAGAGAGAGAGAGAGAGAGAGGAGAGAGAGAGAGAAGAGAGAGAGAGAGAGAGAGAGAGAGAGAGAGAGAGAGAGAGAGAGAGAGAGAGAGAGAGAGAGAGAGAGAGAGAGAGAGAGAGAGAGAGAGAGAGAGAGAGAGAGAAGAGAGAGAGAGAGAGAGAGAGAGAGAGAGAGAGAGAGAGAGAGAGAGAGAGAGCAGGGTGGTGAAAGGTAAGAGTTTCAAGATTTTCAATTTTTTTCGGCCATTCAAAATATTGAATTGTACTTATACAACTTTTCCGACACGGAGAACGTGTCAAGGAGACTACATAACAAATCGAAGCATATCAACAATATTTTCTATCGTATACACCAAAGCGAATAAAAAGGAAAAAAAAGTAAATATTATTCATTTACGTAACATAAAAAAATAAAAATAAATCCAGTACCTTGAGTGAATACTGAGATGAGAAATGTTTCGTAACCGCCCTTTTATTTTTTTTTTTTTTTTTTTTTTTATGCCTGGTGGTCACAGGAAGAATCCTTGGGCCGTCTTTTCTGTGGCTGTGCCTAAGGGAACACTGCGACTCGAGTATAGAGCAGTGTTGAATTGCGTGTAGTCCAGCGATATTTCCGATTTTCTGTAGTTTGTGATATGATCTAACGGTGAAAAAAGAAGATTTACTCTATATCTAGCGCTATTTTGAAGTTCCATATCTAGCGGGGAAACGAGGAAGTTTTATTCATATATTTATTTTTTTTATTTTTTATTTTTTATTTTTTTTTTAGTCCAGTAGGTGTTGTGATCGGAAGTTTTATTCGTATATTTAATGGTGTTTATTATTATTCTTTTTTTTAGTCCAGTGGGTGTTGTGATCGTTGACTGATAAGGGATTTTCGCGAAATAAATATTAATGGAAGGATCTGTAGACGAAAGTGACCTTATGCTGTGCTGTCATGTCATAATATTTCGGACATGGAATCATTTGAAAGCATTGTAGGTGTGTGATTCCTCCTCTTTATACCAGTATTTCCTTTAATTCTATTCTTTATCATTATTCTTTATAATTTTTTATTATTTATAATTCTATTCTTTATCAGTTATTATTATTCTTTTATGCTGTCTTTCGATAAGTCATTGCTATAGATCAGCAATAGCAGCGGGCCTAGTATAGACTCCTGGGGCAGTCCACTCGTCTAGGTCAGTCAAGGAGCAGTGTCGAGTGGCTGTATCTCCTTATTTGTTGAACCCATGACTGTCAATCCAGTAACACCTTTTGTTTATTCAGTAGCCTATGACGTAGCGATGTAGTCATGACGAAGTCGGTCGGGTATGACGTCTGGCTGGTAAGGTATGACGTCAGAGGTGGTAGGAGTTCGATAACAGAAAAGAGAGGATGATTGTTTATATATGTACAAATATATAAACTATATTGTTTAGTTTTCTTGCATTTGATACATTATATACGATATATGTAAAATGAAAAATATATATCTTTATAGCGGTACTTGGCATTATTGTTGATGACGTCACAAACCCACTCGCAAGTCTTCGAATAGAGTTATGCAAATGCTTTTTGACAAGTCTGTGGACAATAACGACACTAAGAAGATAGTTTTTGATGGAATGTGCTTTTCAAAGAAAACAACAGTTGTGACATCATAGTTTCGGAGCCAATCACGATTCGACTAATCACAGCCAATCCCTGCGCAAGGTCTATGTAACTACAGGCAAGGTCTATTATAAGTAGTAATATAGACCTTGACTCGAGGTCTCGTCACTTCGGAGTTCTGCGTAGCTTTTTGTGATAAGGCCTAAGACGTCACTAGGAGGCAGTTGAGAGCAATAGGGGCGGGGGGGGGGGGATTAGAGCATGGTAGGGTGGGAGGTACATAATAGAAAACGGTAGTAAATGAGCAGATACTTAAGTAATTTTAGATGTCGGCACGTTGAACGATTTGCCTATTGGACAGATTTTACAGGCGATGATTATCAGCGATTGTTTGTTTGGTCTGTATCACATATTTTACGTGAATTTAGTTTTGTAATTCTCATGTTGCAGCTTAGATATAGACCTTGTGCCGAGTTTCGCTGCAGCCCTGGTTAAATCTTCCATTCTTGTATTTTTTTCCCTGTTGTTGGTCGGTTTGCAGGTTGTTACAGAGACACCATTGCAAACGATCCGAAAGCGAGGCTAGAGCTATGGTTTCGGCGTTTATTGGAGGTGGCATTGATGCATCTGATAATGTGATGTAAAATGATATGCAAAATTGTAACCTAATAGTTTTGCACATTTTAAATGAAGTGCAATAGCCATCTTACTCCGAAGTCTGGGCTCCATCATCGCATTCGCATGGTTTGCAGTTTGAAGAGAGAGAGAGAGAGAGAGAGAGAGAGAGAGAGAGAGAGAGAGAGAGAGAGAGAGAGAGAGAGAGAGAGAGAGAGAGAGAGAGAGAGAGAGAGAAAGTATAGGCTCCATCATCGCATTCGCATGGTTTGCAGTTTGCAGAGAGAGAGAGAGAGAGAGAGAGAGAGAGAGAGAGAGAGAGAGAGAGAGAGAGAGAGAGAGAGAGAAGAGACAGACAGAGACAGACAGAGCAGACAGAACAGACAGACAGACAGTAGTAAATGGTGGTAACTATAACCAGTTAGTGTAGCGCTTTCACAATTTCTTAAAGGGCAAAGGTGTGTGTGT